CAAATTAATGTAAGGCAGCCGACTGAGGCAAATGTCTTGAGAATTGAACCACATGAACTGTTTTAGATCTTATGATGAAGTGTGATGAACGGTGATCATTAGTGATGGGTTGTTGTAATGAAAGTGTACTAGTTATAAGATGAAGACTTAAACGATGTATGCTTTGTTAAATTCACTCATTGAGGCATAAAGCCGACTGTATCTACATTGAGTGCATTGGAGTGTGAGGGACAGACAGGACAGAGAGGTTTCAGGTTACAGCTGCAGCTTCACACCTCGACGTGGAAGGGACAATGGAGGAGGTGACCCTTTGGAGAAGAGGCCAATGACATTCAAATGCACCAAAGAAGACACACCTCAAGAGTTTTCAAAGGACCATGGCGGGGAAAAGACTGTTAGAACTTCTCCTGCAGCCGCGTTGATAAGTCACTTTAGACTTGCTCAGAGAATTCTCTATTTCGCGAAATATTCCACTGTTCGCTTAGTATTTCACTTTGTAATTGTAATCCCTATTACGTTGTTCAGTTATTAAATAACTTTTGATTTTTGAATTTAAACGAATTGACTCATTCGTGTCCTCGTTTCCGGCCGGGACGAGAACAGAGGATTGAGTCCTCAAGAACAGTCTTAAAAAGCATTACATTTTTCTTTTGAAATGGTGCAAGAACCCTGCATAGGTAATCTGCCGGATTGAACATTTAAGACGATGCAGTTTTGTTTACATCCATTTAGTCTATTTATAGAAATACACTTACTAGGAGACATCTGAGAACCCAGCGCCGAATAAAAAGACATCACAGGCCCTTTGAGATCATAAAAACACAGCGTGAGATGAAGACATGAGCCATGCTAAGAACCAAACCAAAAATATAGACATAACTACTGGATTGGGACATTATGTGACTACCAAGAAGTTCAAATAGTTTAAAATATCTCAAAAGTGTGTAGAAATACACAAGTATGCGTTTCTCTCCAATTCAGATTTGTTGAGGTTTACTCACATTAGGACAGGTTTTACTTACTTCTCATCAAATAGGGCGCCCTAAGAACCTTGCAGGCCCTCATCCCTTTGAGATTAACAAAAAAGAAATTGATGTTGAGATTTGAGCCGAGACAATAACTAAACAAACATTGTCTACATTCATCATTTTCATTCATGGTCAGCTGTATTTCTGGTATATTTCTATAGAAATATAGTGTGTCGTTGCGTCGTTGCGTCGACACACTCGTTTCAATTCATGGTTCTAAAAGTCTTGCGTGTGTTGCAGAGCAATTCACCTCCAGAACAACAGGCGTTCTGTGTCCTGTGTCGCTCTGAAAACGCAGAAGCATAAACTTGGGTTAAACAAACTTTATCTACATACATTTTCATTCATGGTCAGCTGTATTTCTGGTATATTTCTATAGAAATGACTCACTGGGTGTTGGAATCCTTCTGCGCAGCAGAGGTCCTTGAATAGCTTCGCTGTTGGATTTGTTGACGGCAATGAAGGCGGTGAAGACACTGCTCACTCCTGATTGGACGCTGAGCTCCACCACCTTCTTCTGCCCTCCTGCGTCTTCCTGTCCTCCAGGCTCTCTCACCTCCATCTCCAGAGAGCGGATCACGGTCCGAGCGGCCAACCTGTGGACCGTTAGTCTGCAGAGACAAAACACAGATTTACAAAATTATAATACACATACTAATTATTTCTTTTAGGGTTCATGTACGTCCAGGAGTGAAAAGAACAAAGAGATTCTACAGGGATTCTTGACTAAATGATTACATTCGAGGCCGCTCTGCACATTGTGTGCGTCAGCCACTGAGCAGACCTTTAATGCATCAGTGCAATACTCTCTTAACGGACAGGTCCTTGGTTCTCACTCCTCGCTAAAGTCAAAGAGCTCCTCTTTCCTCGGTCCTTTGATTTGATCTCAATAATGAAAATGAACTCAACATTTTTTAGGACAGGACCCAATGCATAATTGTGCTGCTTTACCCAGAGTCCTCTGCAGGTTTGAGACTGAAGTGGAGCTGGGTCTGAGAGGGATGACCTGCCAGGCTGTAGGCCACCGTCACACAGCCCTCTGACGCCTCCGAACTCTGAGGAGACATCGGTGTCACAAACCATTCTTCCATCATCGCTCACCCTGATAAATCAAACGAGAGAGTAGTTCCACTATAAGATGGTGGTGCTCCTACCTGTCCAGTGAACTGGGCGTAAACCAGTGACCTTTGACCCTGGAAAAGTGCTGCGATCGGTGGAGAGAGAGCGGTGACAGAGACTCCGCTCGGCAGATCCCACTTGACTGAGACGTCCACCACGGCCGGTTGCAGAGCGAACCGCAGCGACTGCATCACCTGGTGAGTAAGAACCATTTAAGTAATCATGTTATGGTGGTGATTTGATTTTCCATTGACATGAAGGCAGCGGTGTGTTACTTTGGGCTGCATCCTGTCGGCCCCTGTGATGAACTGAGCGTGGCCTCCTCCTTCTTTGGCCAACCCGTTGATGAGAGCAGAACTGGCCCCTTCCCCGATCCCAAAGGAGAAACACCTACAAGACAGTGGGCTGGTTTTTACACACCCAGCACCTAAACATGGGACTTATTTTAGCAATTGTGTTGATTTTCTTGTTCTTGGACCTGTGGGAGGCTGAATTCTGCTTCACCAGATTTATGACTTCTTTTGTGTTCCCCACCTCTCCGTCAGTAAAGACAAATAGCTGATGAGGAGAGTTCACACAAAGTTACACACAGTGTTTCATTGCTGTTTTAGTGTGTGCGTGTGTGTTTGTTACTTGTCGAGGTTGATTGGGAATGGAGGGCTGTCTGTAAATGTGTTTAAGTGGCTTCAGGATCTCAGTTCCTCCCAGATTAGCCTCCATCTCTTCCACTTTCTTCAGAGCCTCTTCCATCGTCTTCTGGTTGTACTCTTCACTCTTACTGCAGCCAGAAACACACAAACTTTACAGCATACAGATGATCTACAACCCTTCAACATAAGAATGTCTTCAATACCAGATGAATTCATTTTAAAGTATTGGGAGGACATTTCAAAACTTTGACATTAACATTAGTCAATGGTTACACCGTGGTGGTTTAAGCAATAAGGTACGAGAGGCTGTACTTTATCATTGCGCGTCAACAACACCCCTGAACGTTACATTATTGAAGATAAAGTACTGCCTCAAGTTGCTTTTATAATCTGGTTACCAGCTAAATTATAAATAAAACGTAAATAGCTGCTTTTCAGCATAAAATAAGTTGTAGACATCAAATGTTGTGCATCTCATTTAAGTAGTCTAGACAAAAAATGTGTCCCCGTACGTGCATGTAAACAGCATTGGGATCCGCACCATCTCAATTATTCACATCCATCATGACGTCCACCTTGTGGGATTTCCACGGTTTTTGTCAGCGATCACTGTTAAGGTTTCGGAAGCTCTCGAGGGAGGACTCAATCCTCTGTTCTCGTCCCCGCCCGGAAACGAGGACACGAATGAGTCAATTCGTTTAAATTCAAAAAT